CGGGTTTATTCCTATACTAGTTGTCAGGATATACAGAAAGTTCCCGGACAGAATCGGACTCTGTAAACGTAGACTCTGATAGATGTCCAAAAACATATTTTATTTGAGGGAAAAAAAAACGTGAGGCCGACAAAGTACTAATAATGACGCTGGAACAATAACCAGGATAAAAACGGGAACAAAAAGCGCTTGATAAAGGCAAGGAGAAGGTAAACCCAAATAGCTTGTCACAAAAGGACAAGATGACCAATCCCCGACAAATACAAATCGAGATTATGTTTACAAAAATACTATTTACAAACAAAAATACAAAACACAACGGAATCATGGCATGAATAAAGCAGCCGTTTTCTGCTGTAGCCATCTTGGCCATGTGACGCTCAGCATGCTTCTTGCTGCTTCCCAATGAGACATCTTGTGGCACGGAATCCAAGATGGCGTCCAAAGAAGGCGGGGCGAACGCACGCTTGCATAGACGGGCACCGAAACGTGTTCAAACAACAACCTCCTGCCCAACCACCGCAGAGTAGCACCCATGTCAACGTGAGCGAATCAAACAAAGTACAATAGAGTTATTTTCCTTCCCGTTTTGTTTTTTTCTTTCGTCCTCCGGTCTCAGGGTGGGGGGGTGGGGGGGGGGGTAGTTTGCACTGATTCATGCGCAGTCGATGAGCAGGCAATGGTGCAATTTACAAGACCACCCACGCTGGTCTTGGATCAGCTTTTACTGGCAGCACGTGGGCAGACTGCAAGTAATCAGAGGCCTGTCAATGCAGAAATTTAGTTCCTACTCCGAGCGGGAATTATTCACCAAGCCATCGCCGCTAAAAATGATTTGCCTCTATTAAAAAGGATCAACGTAATCCTTCTCTTCAATCACAGTTCGAGCTGGTAAATCTTTAAATAAGGCTGTAAGCTGGGAATGGATGACACAGTGTTAAAATAAACACCTTGAAAATGGTGTAAAAAGATGATTCTTAATGGCAATTTTTGTCACTTAAAAAAAAAAAAATTATGGATCTCATCGTCGTATAAAATGAGGTTAATCACCATTAAATGACAAAACAAATTTTTAAAAATGGAGTTTAACAATGATAACAGCTTTAGAATAGCATATAAATGCAACAAGATGGCGCCCAAGCACTACTTCTCCATTCGACAAGGCTTTGGCATTATAGGAGCTCCTCTTCTCACTTCAACATAGCGTTCCTTTGCATCAGGAAGCCACGGGATGGTGCCGGCGGATGTTTTCATGGCGCATGGCTTGGGCGCAGTGAAAAGTAAAAACAATCAAAGAGCTTTGACAAGTGATGATGCGTTATCGTGGTTGTTAGTTATTAGTTATGCCTGAGGTGATTATCTTTCCAATTAGAGCAATAAAAAGCAGAGTTGAACAACTGAAATAAATTCTCACTTAGGAACACCTTTTTCTCGGTTTGTTCAAAAATTTGTGTGCATACACACACACACACACACACACACACACACACACACACACACACACACACACACACACACACACACAATCTGTGTCTTTTTCTCTCACCTGGTCCCATTGTTTTGACAGGCTGTCCCATCTCTTATTTAATCCGTTCATCTCGTGTTCAGCCATCCGTCCGTGCGTCCATGTCTTGTCCCAGAGGGATCCTTCACGCATGATGTGGCTGCCCAGGCTCCTGTCACACACTCGGGCTTTGAAGTTAGCCGCACTGTAAATCACACGAGCGCGGCGCTCTGTCCTAATCGACGCTGCTCGAGATGAAAGCAGAAGTAAAGGGATAATCCTGCTTGAGAAGGTACTAACAGAATGTGTCCTGGCAGGGATGTAAAATCACTTCAAGAACGTTTTAAGTACAATTAACAAGTACAATTTCGTTTAAGTACATAAATGGTCATCCATGCATGAAGAGAAGTTACCGTATTTTCCGCACTATAAGGCACGTCGGAGAATAAGGCGCACCTTCAATGAATGGCCTATTTTAAACTTGTTTTCATATATAAGGCGCACCGCATTATAAGGCGCATAGAATAGAAGCTACAGTAGTGGCTGCAGTTGCATTATGCATCCACTAGATGGAGCTACACTAATGGGAATACAATACAGCTTTATTTATATAGCGCTTTCACAACCGCTGCGGCCATAACAAAACGCTTGACAGAACATTTAAAATACGACGTCCAAGAAATCAGAATATTGATCCATATATGAGGCGCATCGGATTATAAGGCGCACTTTTGGCTTTCGAGAAAATTGAACGCTTTTAGGTGCGCCTTATGGTGAAGTAAAATACGGTAAATCACACGGCACGGCACAATTAATATCAAGTCAAAATCGCCCGGCTGTCCTCTTTTGTTTGATGCAGTCAACGCTTGCTGACCCATCCAACTGGCCTGTCCGAGACGGTTACATTCATGCGCAGCTTCCCAATCACACCCTGGCCGACAGACACACATCCACTGACATGCCTGGTTCCATCAGACGTGAGGGGAAAAAAAAAATAAAAATATCCCAAATCATACAGAAGTCATCCTGTATTTAAAATGGAGTGGTTTCAAAGCGGTTCTTAAGCTCAGCGAGCCAAGACCCTGGTGAGGGACGGTTTCCTTGTGTTTGTGATGAACATGGCTTACCCGTCCGTCAGAGGTGTTGATGACTTGGTGCAGCCTGACTGAACACCTCCACTCCACTCTAATTCTGTCACAGAGCTCATGTCGGACATGAAAAAAGATTTGGCTGGATTGGAAACAATGGAAACTGAATTGGTTAGTTTTTTTTTTTTTAAGAGAGCGCCTCAAAATCAATGGAGTGAATACGTGTTTGCGTTGTCCCAAATAAATCCCGTCACACGGCTCGTGTGTGCATCAGCTCCCAGCGAGTCTATTGTCCCAGATATCTGGCCTGTGATCAGTCGTCATGTTCCAACCTGCATGGACTACACTGGCAGCCAAGCGTCTCCATTCAGGGCCAACTCTGGAAGTAGTACTCGGAGTTCACATACTGAGTAGTCCTTGAAGCAAGAAGACTGTTGTCTACCGACCCGTTTGTCTCCTTTATAAATGTCAATTACCGCCTCTGCAGGAAAAGCATCAGAAATGTACCTGTGGTGGCAACGGGAGTTTAACTTTAGTCACTGTATAAGCAGGTGAAATAATAAAATAAGCAACCGTGATTCCCTGAAGACATTTTGTCCTACTTTATCACAGTGGCCATGCACAAGTAGGTTAAAACTTAGATGATCACGTTGCTGTCCTTGTGCTGGATTTTTTTTTTCTTTTCTTAATAATCTGCTGTTTGTATCTACTCTCGCAGGTGCATCGGTGGCACATAAAGCTGCAGCCTTGGGCCAAACAAAGCCACTCTCTGGAGGATGAAGCCAAACGCTTTCTTCAATACATCACAAGACCACAAGTGAGTTAGTGGACCGACCGACTCATCTACCGGATGACTGACCGTGCCGTGAAAACGTATTTTCCAAGTTCCTGATTTCTGTGTTCTTTGCGTATGTATCACATACAAAGATTTCAGTTCAATTTGAATATCACAGAGACAACCCCAAGGAAATATAATCCTAATGATATCATATATTATATAATGATGTTAATGTGTCCAGGTGTCCTGCACAAGTCCCCGTGTAAGCCCAGATGGAGCATGGGCCGTGTGTCTGGACCCGAAGTACAGCCTGACTCATAGGATGCAACGCAAGCAATGTAGGGTCTACTCTTTTGGGTGAGTGCACTTGCAACGTGCATCGGGCTCATTGGGTTATCCAAGTCGAGAGAAATACAAGAACATCACCATTATTCTTCTTTTTTTTTTTCCAGGCAACCAAAATACCGATATTTCATACTGGATCACAATATCGATATATGCTACCATATTATCAGACTGAGATGATAGCAATGGTAAATAAAAGATGATCCGAGAGTGGCAAAAGCAATATTAATGTTTTGTTTTTTTTAAATAGGACAATACCAACATTTTGAAAATAGCACTATCGATGTGATACAGGAACATTGATACACGACCGAAAGAGATCACAAAACCATGCATTGCGATCTCGCGATTTTGTACCGACTCCCACGGCGTCTGAAAAACAACCTCTGCAATTGTAACCCCACCTACACCACGCAATGGTGTGATGAAAACATCCACTCTGTGAATGATCAGTGAGTTATACGCGCATATGGTGCCGACTAACGGCAGCACATGCGGTGCAAGTTATGCATCAAGCTGTTAGGTACAGCATGTCACGCTGTTATAGTCTATCACGCCTTACAAATGCAGCTGTTCTCATGTCAGTCCATTCAGATTTTTCCTCCCATATTTGCTTTTCATGCAAGGCTCCGTCTTGCTCACCCCCCTCCCCACCCTTTTTGTTTTCAAGTCAGTGACTAATTGGCTACACTCACACGGCATCCATCTTTCCCTCCAACTCTTCATTTGTTGAGTGGCAGCGTAATTAGAGTCAAGATAATCCCCCAATCTGCCTCCGTCTCCCTCAAGCAACTCGGATCAGATCCCACCAGGACTATGTGGCAGTTGATCTTCTTAAGATCGTTAAGTCAATGACTGTGTGGGTTCGGGCTTGACGCTACCCTGCTGTGCTCGAGTCAACGGGGGGTGTGGGGGGAGTCCTGGAGACTAGGGAGTGCATAAATGTGAGCAATGGGAGATTGCTGAGCAGGTGAGCTGGAATCAAACTTGGCAATGACATTCTCTCTACATTTACTCAATGACGTTGAACCAAGCTGAAATTCTGAGACAAACATGTCAGGCATAAGAGCTCAAAGTAAGCGTTCGTCCAGTAAAACGTTTCCGTTCTCTTAACAAACACGGTATCCTTTCCAACGCCGTCCCCAATCTGACCTTTTTTCATACTTGTAAATCCATCCCAGGCACCATGAGGGTCCAACTCTCGAGAAAGTTGCGCTCTGTTTTCACGAAAGTTGAAGTCTACAACCGAAAGCAAATCTGGTTTCAAAAGAGATGATCTCCGTATATTTACTCAATGACGTTGAACCAAGCTGAAATTCTTAGACAAACATGTCAGGCATAAGAGCTCAAAGTAAGCGTTCGTCCAGTAAAACGTTTCCGTTCTCTTAACAAACACGGTATCCTTTCCAACGCCGTCCCCAATCTGACCTTTTTTCATACTTGTAAATCCATCCCAGGCACCATGAGGGTCCAACTCTCGAGAAAGTTGCGCTCTGTTTTCACGAAAGTTGAAGTCTACAACCGAAAGCAAATCTGGTTTCAAAAGAGATGTCAGATGTCAACCTTGCAGTTGTGCACGTTGTTGAAAGCGGTGCCGCACAGACTTACGTAAAGCTTGCGCTTGTTCTTGCTTGATCGGTGGTTGTTACCTTTGAGCCGCTCACTGTTGGAACATGTTTTTGTCAGCGTAATGAAAATTGGTGAGCGCGAGTTTGATACAAGTAAGGCTATTTCCAGATTGACAATATGAAGCCACCGGGTCGCAAATGTTTTGGGAGTGAGGCAGGCGAGGTGCGGCTATTCCCAGATTGACAACATGTAGCCACTGGGGTCGCAAATGTTTTGGGAGTGAGGCAGGCGAGGTCGTTTGCCTGACGGTCGGACTTGTGGTGAAGTGAAAAATACTTGCATAGTACAGTGGTACCTCTACTTACGAACGTCTCTTCATACGAAATATTCAAGTTACGAAACGCGTGAGGCATTCAAATAATTTTACGTAGATGTGAATCACCCAGAAAAAGTCAGGTGCATCGCTCACGATGCTGATGTTTTCCTTGAATATTTTCGAAGGATTGTTAAAAGACGACAAAAGCAAATGTCCTTGGATCAGTTCTTTACAAAACGGCAGGCAAAAGAGAGAACATGAACTAAAGAGGGCACAAAAAAACGATGAGTTAAACGCAGTTAAACGTGAAATGACTATCATTTTTATTCTTTACTCTATTATTTGTTTCTTTACATTATGCACAACTCCTATTTATTGTGCAATAATCTATATGTAACATGTATTTGTTACATATTTTGATGCATTTTTATGCTTTAGGAAACATTTATGTCTGAATTTTGGAGCGGCAAGGAACGGATTGGGGCATTTACATGGAAAACGCGTCTTGACTTACAAAACTTTCTAGTTAAGACATTTCTTCCAGAACCACTTAATTGCATAAGTAGAGGTACCACTGTAATCTATTCTCAAATTTTAATGAAGAGAAATTGCACTGAAAGATTTTAATGAACTAATGAGTTTTGTGCAACATTTTAGAGCACTGTATGTGCAGATGGCAGGCTTTTTAAACTCCTTGGCACAGGGATATTTAGGTTAAAGCGAAACCCGGGGACATGCATGAAGTCCGCATGTCGTCGTGCGATAACGGAAAGGCGATCAGCGAGGCAACAGACGAGGAACTTAAGGGAAAATAAACAGAAAACATACCTTATATAAGCTCATCGGTGCACTTTGCGATCTCGAGCGACAAATTCTCGCAGTAGCTCTCGACAATTCATCACAATTGGCGAGAGTGAATGACTTACATGTCCCTCGATACGCACGACATGCACCGCTCCGCGAGTTGTCTGAGGTGTCAATCACATCCGTAACGTCCCAACCGATGACTAAGAAGCTCTCAATTAAATATTTAGTGGTATGAAAACACACGGAGCGGCGTCTCCATTTCTCTTTCCATGCATCATTCATAGTCCCGCTCGCGGGATCCAATCTGGGGCCTCATCTGTAAAAGATGAATGGTGTGAAAGACGGTTTCCCACTCCCTCAATTACAGAACACAGTCAAAGCACAAATTAGACACAGGGGAGAGTGTGGAGACAGTAGCGAGGGGGAATAAGATGAAGTAGCAGTCAAGAAAATGGACAAAAGTGGGAACCCGGATCACCTTGATCATTAACCTGTCCTGTTTGGTTTCCAGGTTGGGGCCAAATGACCGTAACCTGGAACGGTACCTCGCGGGATCCGGGTGCGAGGTGCACTGTTTCGATCCCAGTTTGAAGCAGCCTCACCAGCACTACGGCGAAATGTGGCTCCACCGCCTATCCGTCGACTGGAGGGATCCCAACCCCGCTGTCATTGCCCAGCGGCAGCACACCAAGAAACTGGCCACCATCCTCAACGACTTTGGTCACAGACAGGTAAACGCCATCACGTTACACAGTCGACCGAAACCTGTTCCGCTTTCAACGCGGCGTCACGCAACATTCATCCTTGAAATGAGATTTTAATGACAGTGAGCCCAGGTGGGTCGGCACAATCGGCAGCATCCACTTACCCGCGGCCGCTTTTGATCGTGTCTAAGAATGTGCAATTTGCAACCGGTGGACTCATTTAGTTGAACCCTATTGAGAAATGAAGACGGCGGACATTGTTGAACCAAGTGGATTGGCCTTAGGGATCACATCTCATTCGGGTTAATGAAAACGTATGCAGGAATCATGTCAGTTGAGACATGACGAGTGATTGCTCAAAAAGGTGAGGGACTGGCTGGAGGAGGGAAGGAAGAAAACACGGACGGATAGGATGAAGAGTGACTTAAGGATGGATCGCTGATACAACAGCTGTGGGACGGATCCTAAAACTGAATAGACGAACCGAAGAAGCCTGAAGGATAGTGAGGTGAAGCCTGTTCGCATCTCTGACTGCAGTACAGATGACTAGATTGATGTGGAAAGACCGATTGGCCGGATGGATAAAAGATGGCTGATGGTTGAGCAGCTCATGGACCAGATCGATGAATCCTAAACTTTAAACTGGATAAATGGACGCTTAACGGGCGGACTGCTGAAAGCTTGTTTCGATGAGTGAATGGATCTGAAGTGGCCGCTCAATCCAAGGTCTCCCAATTTACCTCATATGAGTAGCCTTGGAAGAAAAAAAAGATCCTGATCAATGATTTCCCCACAGACCAAAAGGGGCTATCAAGCCCCTGCTGTTCAGTCTGCCCCGTTACTCAAACCATCACCCAAATGACCAAAACGGGTGCAATGGCTAAGTTAACCTTTACACTTTCAAATCTTTCGGCGATCAATACAGCCTTCGCAGTTAAATATTTTTCCCCCGGTGATGCTCTGACTTCTGGATTAATTGCTTGTGTTCTTATTTTCAGGTGGACGTATTGAAAGCAGACATGGAGAGTGCCGAGTGGAAGATTCTGGAGAACCTAATCCTGGAAGGAGTTCTGGACTCGGTCGGTCAACTGCTTTTGGAGGTTCACCTCCACTGGGCGGGTTTCGAGGTGGCGGGGGACGACCCTTCCGTGGTTCGCTATTGGTTCAGCTTGCTCAAGGAGCTGGAACAGGCCAACTTTCGCCTCTTCCACGTGCACAGCGACCCGACCCAACCGCGCATTTTTCTGCACAAGAACGTCTTCAATGCCAGCAGTACCTACACTTTTGCGTGGGTGAACACACGGTGGATGCCCTGACGTGGTTCAAAATCAAAGAGAAGTGGATTTAACCCTTTCATGCACCTTGTAAGCGGATGACATGATAAACTGTCCACTGTCGTAACCGCTGTCCCTGAAAGGGTTACGGACCAAAATACCGGCAGATGAGCATCTCTCGGCTCAGGTTGACCCCCTCCCCAATCTGCGTAGCACACAGCTCCATTTCTCCTTGATGACCTTGAAGCCTCCAGGGGCTGTGTATTCGACTACCTCATCTCGGCTGTGCCGTTCGCCGAGGGTCAACTTTCTAGCCGGTCGACCCCATGTTCACGGTTCGTGATTATTTCAAGCCCACGGGCAACTCATGTTCACAAGACTTGCCCTTCCACCCTCGGTTTATGGAGACATGAAGAGACCCACATTTTGCAAGGGATGCATATAGATACGAACGCCATTTTTTTCCTCTTTGGGGAGAATTATACAGCCGCATGGATCGTGAGAGGAGAGGTGGAGACTTTTTGCCACTATGGCTCTATCGTGAACAATCATGTCAAGAACGTGCAGGTACAAGAAGGTTCATGTGGAATGAAGGAAGAGAGCGTTTTTCGGTTTGACCTCCAAATTCATGTGACCACACCAAAGACTTTGTCTGCACGTATGACAGAAGCCTACAAAATAAAAGCAAGCGAGGACGGAAACCAAAGGTTCTCTTGGGTATTTTCCCAAAATGAAACAATGATAAAAACAGATGATGCGCACAACTGACGGAGAGTTTATTATTTCCACATAGCTGGCCATAAAATCAAAAATGAGAATATAAAGCGCGCGGGACAATGCAAAATGAAAACATCCAAATGTGTCAAAAAATGTGTTGTTGTTTTTTTTAATCTTTGTACAAGAACATCATAAACTCCCGTGGATACAAAAAATGCACTGCTACAATAAGACTGGATGCCAGTCTCGTGGCATTCGTTCGCAATCCCTCACCTTATGCTCGGATGCGCACCCCGCTCCCTCTATAAAGCACGTAAAAGGAAACGTCTAATCCCAGAGTTTGATTTGTCCGTCCCAACCGCAGGTGATAACCTTGGAGGTTTCGTGGGGATGCCACAGGGCGCTGATGCACACCTTGTCGTGCGCTTTGATCCTGTGGTACAGCTTGGTCGTCTTCCAGTCCCAAATATTCAGCTTTCCGTCGGCGTCGCCTGACACCACGTAGCTGGTGAAACGATAGCAAAGATTCGGGGATCTAATCGTGCTCCTGCGGTAAGGCAGTCGTTCCGAGAATACCCAATGACGATAAGGCTACGCGCAGACGTGTGGGGGGTTAGTACGAACCCGGAGTTTTTGTTTTTTTGGGATATGAAGTCTTTGCCCTTGTTAGCGCTTTTGGTGGATTATTAATACCCTTCATCAACTGAAAGGGTTTAAGATGATTACGCTTCTTGATTTACACATTTGGCTTTTTCTCAATTCAAATTCTTCGTTTCAAAGTCAAAGGGCTTACTTACCTCATGTCGGGGGAAAAGTCCACCTGGCAGGCGTAGCCGGCAACCATGTGGCCTTTAAAGATCTTCTTCTTGTTCAGTCGGAAGCGGTTTTGGGCACCAAAGATCAGAATCTGATTGTCCATGGACTGGCATGCAAGCCATTTACCTTGGTTTTGGGAAAAAAATAAAAAAGTAAAGATTATTAACATAAAAACTACACTGCAACAAAGAGTTGGTTGCACTCTAATTCGAAACCTTCACTGACAACTCCAGTCTGCATTCGCTTGAATTTTGTTGCGAAATTTCCAGGCTTGTCTTGGATAATCTTGTTTGCTTGACCAGGCCATAAGTGCGATACAAATAAGACTTTTATAATATTAAATTATTCATAAGAAATGTAGTGGTCACCGGGATCCTTTTACGGTGGGTGGGCAGCGCAAAGGCGCACAGAGGATGTATGAAGGCCATTTTGGTCAAAGTGGAAACCCGAGCGGACACCTACTGAGATCACATGCATAATTCAAAAGGACGGCGCGGAATGAAAAACATGCTGGGACAAATATAAACGCAGCTCGAGGTGGATCAGGAAGAGACAGATTTCTGGTATTCTATTGAGCCCGACTTTCATAATATTCAGGAAATATTAGCTTTTCATAGCGAAAATTCACAAGTAAGTGCCTCATCTCATTTCAACATAGTTCCTTGGCGCCAAAATGGCACGCAAAAACGGCAAGTAGGTGACTTTTGTTCAGCCACTAACAGAGGATAGGTTCCAAAAAACAAAAACAAGAGTTTTTCCCAGCAGAAAGAAGACATACTACTTCGGGATTCGTTTTGATACACACAGCTGATTCACTTCCATCCAGTTGGCTTTAACCCACAGGTGTCAAAATCAAGGCCTGGGGGCCAGATCCGGCCCGCCACATCACTTTATGTGGCCCGCGAAAGCGAATCATGATCACTGCTAAAACCTGTACCGAAATGTTAAATTGTCATGTGTAATAAATAACGTTGACATTTTGTTAGCCTCGTTCCACTTTTCTCAACAATAATTGAGCGACAACAAACAAATGGTTGACTTGAGTGATTTCAAAACAAATAGTCCATCCATTTGTTGTGTACAAGTAATAATACTCTGAGAAATATTTATTCGGTTTCACTTTCGCAACGGGCCTTTGAGGGAAGTGGTCTGCGACAAAAAAATGAGTTTGACACCCCTGCTTTAACCCAATCCTGGTAGGTAACGTCGTGGCCCCGCTCACAAATCCAACCCACTAATAATACAAGATCCACTTCTGCGTCCCTTGGAATTATTCTCCACTATGAATCCGCTCAATCACGACAACCCCCCGGGGTCTGGGAGCTGCCGGCTCGGCTCGTTTGACTCACCGTTGGGAGAGAGCGTCACGGCCGGCATGGAATGCATGCTGGGCTCGGCGATGTACTTGAAGTCCACGGGGATGTCCCTGGAAATAAAACCCAAATGTTCAGTACACTTGGCTGGAATCCAAGATCTGAAAAAAAAAAGAAGAATCTAGGCAGGCCCGAGACGGGCAGACTGGAAAAAAAAAATGTGCCGTGACGGAGAGATAAGCATCTTGAAAGTAAAATAAACAAAGAGCTTCGGACTGTGTGGGCAGTGCTTTTGAAGCTTCAGACTTGAGGTCTCTTTATTCTTTACGCTGTCACCAAATTCCCTGTTTTGCATCTTACCGATCGTTTGCGAAGCGGATGCTGATGTGAGCAGCATTTTATGCTAAGTGTGCACATTGAGGTTGTGTGCGTGTGCCCTTGAGATGAGAAACATCTGGAAGAGCCTCCCGCTGGCACGGACGAAGTGTGCAGATGCAAAAAGCCCGAATATTAACACAGTCCATGCCGTTTCCCATTGGAAATCATGCTAAGTGCACTAAATCAACTATCACGATCAAAAGTGATTTCTGTGTCATATTTCCATTTGCTGTTCTTTGGGTCTCATGATGCTTTTACTTTGTCACTTAGTGACTTGGCCATCTTTAGAGTGGGAATTTTAAT